ATTTAATAAGAATGAAACAAGATGGCATGTGCCTTTTTGTGTTTGAATTCCTTAACTTAGCATAATGTCTTTGACATCCATCCATGTTGTGGCAGGTGTTACTATTTTGTTCCTTTCTATTACTGGGTAGTATTCCCTTGTGTGGATACTCCATGGTATTTATGAATTCACCAAAGCTAATGAGCATTTGGATTGCTTCCAGTATTTGGCTAGTAAGAATAATGCTGCTATAGACATGTGTGTACATGTTTGCAAAGACATGTTTCTATTTCTCCTTGAGAAACACCAAGGAGTGAGCTTGTTCGGTCATACAGTAAGTATATGCTAAACCTTCTAAGATTCTGACTAGTTTTTAGAGTAGCTGTACCATTTTTCATTTCCACCAGCAATGAATGAAAGTTCCATTCACTCTGCATCTTCACCAACACTTAGTATTGTCAGCCTTTTTGCATTTAGCCATTTTAGTGGGCACAAAAATATCGCATTTTGGTTTCAGTTGCATTTTCTGAAAGGTAGTGATGTTAAGCATCTTTCCTCTATGTGTTTGCATTCATGTATCTTCTTTGGTGAAGTGTCTACAAATCTTTGAGCACTTTTGACCATTGAGGTCTCTTTTTGCTTTATTACTAAGATGTGTGTGTGTGTGTGTGTACATATTTCCTTTTATATTCTGAATACAAGCCCTTTGTTGAATATATGTTCTGCAAAATTTTGTCTCAGTCTGTGGATTGCCTTTTTGTTGTCTTATCTATATTTTTCAAAGGGCAAAAGTTTTTCACAAACCTTTTCTGGAGTATCCTATAAGGAGCACACTGTTCCTGTAGGAGCTCTGGCTGATACAGGCTCCATGGAGACTTCGATGCAACGGGGAACAGTAGGCCTTATATTTTCAACCGTTATCCAGAAAGTGGCAATAAGAGTGCTCCCCTTCCAAAATGCCCCACCGTGTACTCGGGCCCTCACAACCAGCCATGCTGACCTCCAGCAACCCCACCTCAGACTCCCCATGGAAGCTTCATACAGAGAGCTTGAGTTAACAGAATGGCCCCACCACATACCCGGGCCCTCAATACCAGCCGTCCTAACTTCCACCAACCCCACCGCAGCCTCCCCATAGAAGACTTCCATACAGAGAGCTTGGAGCTTGAGTTAACTAGATGGGAAGGGATCAGTACCCGGAGCTGACAATTACGGTCAAAGTGTCTCAGACTCAGGGATGCCAAAGAAAGGCCTAACTGTGTGTGGTCTTATTTCAAATCATTTTGTATGGTCACATCTAAACAAGGTTAGGAACACTGTGGCCTTTGCTTTGATTTAAAAACATTCTTATCTATCAGGGGCAGATTTACCAGGAAGTTACGGAAGCTTGAGCTTCAGGAATCTAGAGTTCCACGGACAGGCCCCTCCTAAGTCCTGGGGAGGACCTTGCAATGTGTTTATGTTCATTCTAAGCAAATATAAATGTGTCTTCCTTATTGACATTTGTAATTTCGTATTCTTATTTTAGCAAACACCCTGCCTCAAAAGATATGTTTCAAGCACTACAAAGAACCCAGGGACAAGCCAGCTAGAGTTATTTGAATGATTTAAGAGTATAACTGCGAAGACAATGAATGTCCTCTAAATTATGAGAGAGACTGTGTGGTGTGTGCAGGTGTGCATATTCAGACCTTGTATGCATAAGTGTGTAAGGGACTGTATGTGAATGTGTAAGGGGGGGTGCTCTGTGCTGGCATGGAGTCTAGAAGAGGAAGAATAACCATAGGATTGATAAAATATGTCAGGAAATATCCTCTAACTTATTTGTCTCTGTTTTCTCTGCTTCATTTAAAAGGACAGTTTTAACAAAAACTATGATTTTTTTAATTTTTAATTTTTATTTTTATTTCTACAGAATGTTGGAGGAACAGGTGGTATTTGGTTACATGAATAAGTTCTTTAGTGGTGATTTGTGAGATTTTGGCTTACCCATCACCGAACAGTGTCCACTATACCCAATGGGTAGTCTTTGATCCCTCACCCCCTCCCACCCTCTCTCCTGAGTCTCCAAAGTCCATTTTATCCTTCTCATGTCTTTGTGTCCTCATAGCTTAGCTCCCACTTATGTGTGAGAACGTATGCTGCAACCGGGATGGAAATGGAGACCATTATTCTAAGGGAAGTAATGTGGGAATGGAAAACTATATTGTTTTTAAAACCCTGAGTTCCAAGAACAGATAATTGGCATGGAGGTCTGAATCAAGACAAGCTGACAACACATCTCCGAGATCAGCAGAGCACAGTCATAGATGGGGTCCTTGTTGGGATATCCTCAGTTCTTCTCTTCCACCTAGGAATTAGATTTCTTTACAGCCTCTCACATCATACCTTCATTTCCAAACAGGTGCACACGGCTCCGAGATCAAGCTCCATCTGTCTCAAGGACTCCCTAGAATCTTGGGTAGACCACTCGGGAAGTTTGTCTATCAGTGAAAGTGAATTCTAGATCACAGGGAACATCTTTTGTAGCTGTAATGCCCCATTAAAAATAACGCCATTACTCTTTACATGTGCTTAAGATCAAAGGTGAAGTAAGTCTTTATTTGTTCAGTGTAATCTTCCAATCTTTTTCTATAACTTTTCTGGGTTGTATTTGTGGCCTGTCATTTGTGGACGGCGCAGCAACCTCGAACCTACCTCTCTCTGGCCCCTGAGGGAAATGTAACTGACAAAAGTCCCAGCCACTGTGCCCTGAGACCCATCTCCACGTCCATGCTCAGGCCATGTTTCCCCCGGCCAAGGATAAAGCACGCAGGTTAGCTAAGGCAGGTCCATCCCGAAGACATAGACCTCTCTGCTGGTAGCTCTGGATGGGGGAATCCCCACCATCTTCCCAAACTCTCTTAGGAAACTGGAGTCTCAGGTGTCTCCGCCACCTCCTCCTCTCCCTCCCTCACCTGACGTCATTCCACTCACTTCCGCCTCAGCAGCCACTAATCTACTTTCTGTTTTTGTAGATTTGTCTCTTTTAGCTTTTTCACATAAGCGAGATTTATGTAACATCTGGGCTTGTGTGTCTGGCTCTTTCGCAAAGCATCACATTTTTGAAGTTCATCTATGTTATAGCATGTGTCAATATTTCATTCCTCTTTATTGACAAATATTTTATTATATAAATGTGCCACGTTTTATTTACTCATTCATGAGTTGATGGACATTTGGGTTGTTTCTGCTTTGGGTTATTATAAATAATGCACACAAAACTTGTGTGCAAGTTTTTCTGTGGACATATGTTCTCATTTCTCTTGGGTAGACACCTCAGAGCAGAATTGCTGAATCATAGCTACATGCCATGACTGACATTTTCAGAAGATGAAAACTGTTTTCTAAGGCAACTGCACTATTTTATATTCTACTGGAAGTGCATGAGTACTCTGATTTTTCCATGCCCTTCAGTGTGCACCATGCAAACTTGATTTAATAACATCTAAACTTAATCAGTCTGTCTATGTTTCTAGAAAACAATACAAGAAACTTAAAATAGATCACCTCAAGTAGATTATTCCCACCTTTCTCACGTGTTCTGGGTGGGTCAGAACCCCCCAAATCAGAACTTACTCTTATTTGCCATAGTCAAAATGTGTTTCAGTTTTACTCACATATTTACTAGTTGCTTTGATTGTCACTTTTTTCCCCTTCATTCTTATCTTTTTTCTAGAGTCACTTTTTTTTTCCCTTGGTGGTGCTTTCAGCAATGCTCTGTGAGTGGTAACATCTCTGTTTCCTTCTGTCCTTCTTTTTATCCATCTTTCCTTCCTTCCTTCTTTCCCTCCTTCCTTCCTTCCTTCCTTCTCCCTCACTCTCTCCCTCTCTCCCTCCCTCCTTCCCTCCCTCCTTCTTTTCCTTCATTTTTTCCTTCCTTCTTCCTCCTCCCTCCCTCTCTTCTTTTCCCACCCTCCCTCCCTCCTTCCCTCCTTCCCTCCTTCCTTCCTTCCTTCCTATCTTCCTCCCTTCCTTCCTTTCTTCCTTCTTTTCTTTTATTTTCCTCTTCTTGGCCTAAAATATTTTTATCGTACCCTTGTATTGGTCCATTTTGTGCTGCTATAACAAAATATCACAGACTGGGCAATTTATAATAAACAGATACTTAGATCTTATGGTTCTGGAGGCTGGGAAGTCTAAGATGGGGGTACTGGCATCTTGGGGGGCCTCTTTGCCACATCATAACATGGTGGTAGGCATCACATAGGTGAGACAGAGCAAGAGATGGCCAAGCTCATTCTTTGATAAGGACCCCACTCCCATGCTGATGGCATTAATTAAATTAATTAATTCACGACGGCACAGCCTTCATGACCTAATCACCTCTTAAAGATCCCACCACGTAACATTATTGCGTCAGTGATTACGTTTGGGGGCACACATTCAAACCCCAGCAACAATAACATAAGAAAATACAGAATTCCAAGTTCACAGCTATTTCTTTTTCTGTTTTGTCCCCTCTCTTCTCCTCCCAGGATTCCATCTCCATTTTGGTAGACATGTTGTCTATGCCTCCTATTACTCTTGCGTATCTTTTAAATGTTCATCATTTCTTCTCTCACAGGTATTTCAAACCTCAGATTGGGAAGAATTCTTTGGAAACAAGCAAAGCCCCGGTCTCTTGCCCAGGCAGCTCTCCAGTTTTAAGCCGTTCTTCACAGTTCTCTCGACATGCAGTTTTTTCATCTGTTAACCTCCTGTGCTTATTTGCTTTTTGTTTGTGTGTTTGTTGTTGTTGTTGTTGTTGCTGTTGGAGACAAGAGTCTCTCTCTGTCACCCAGGCTGGAATGCAATGGCCCAATCTCGGCTCACTGCAACCTCTGCCTCCCGGGTTCAAGCAATTCTCCTGCCTAAGCCTCCCGAGTAGCTGGGACCACAGGCGCCCACCACCACGCCCGGCTAATTTTCTTTTTCATATTTTAGTAGAGACGGGGTTTCTCCGTGTTGCCCAGGCGGGTCTCAAACTTCTGAACTCAGGCAATCCGCCCATCTTGACCTCCCAAAGTGCTGGGATTACAGGCGTGAGCCACCGCACTCGGCCACTTATTTGCTTTTCAAAGCTGATTTCAAGTCGTCCCATTCCATAGGCTCCTGGACCCAAGATACCGTGAGTACTACCCTCCAGGGGTGTAAGAATTGGTGGGCGTTCAGTTTCAGGTCCACACCTAGGGGATGGGGTCAGATATTCTCTCAGTACAGCCCAAAGCCTTGAGAGTTAGTGAATAGAGAATTGGCTGCTTGATCTCTGGGAGAATTTGCAGCCTCGAGTCTGTCTGTCCAACTTCACCCCTGCCAAAGTTTCACAGCATAAATGATTCTTCATGAGGCAATGAATCAGTGGCATTTACAGGGGCTGTTCTTAAAAATTCTATGTTTTATATAACGTTTGTCTCTTCAGTGGAAATTTAGGTCTTTCCCTAGGACAGTTATAGAGCTGCAGCTAACCAACAAGACTTTATCACTTTTGAAAAGAGAGAATCATTTACCATAATCTCTTCTAAGCTTAAAGTTGGCATCCTAGTTAGTGCTTTATTTAAACAATGATAACAAGGTTCTGAGAATGAGGAGCTGGAGAATGGCAATGCCTAGAATATTCTCTAAAAAAAAAAAAAGGACATTTTCCCTTTAGAAAATGATGGTTCTCCTTGGCATCCACAGCCACAACCCAATCTGTCAGGCAAACATAATTTAAAGGTTCGATTTCTTTTTATTTTCCTAACAAAATTCAAACTAGATAAATATTATTTACTTGTTCTATTGAAAAGAAGAGCCTCCTGTTGACTCAAAACACTGTATTACCTAAATCTTAATAAGTACAATAAGTTATTTAATTTCCTGTTCTTTTATTCTTATTTTCATATTTTTAAAGTGTAGTTCAGTGTATCTCTTTTCTTCTGAAATGTTTCTATTGTGAAACACAAAAGTATGCTTTTGGTAAGTTGAAAAGTGTAATAGAAAACTTGAGCATCTGCTTTGTTAGGATTTGGTGTCAGGGCAGAGGGCCTGCTCAGGTAAACCACGTGAGTGAGAAGAGGGCAGGTGCTGTCTCCCTGTTTTCTGCAGAAGAATAGAAACTCCTCTTATTTCCTGGGGAGAAAACCTCATCCTTCCTACCTGATATCAGGCCCAAGCAACCCCACTGTTCTTTGCCTCTTTGCCCTGCTCCTGCTGTCACCCATTGTTACACTGACACTCCCGTCTCAGGAGGCAGCTTCCTCCAGCCACAAGCAGGAGTGCGACGGCATTCCCTGGCACCCCGCTCCGTGTTCCTGACACCCTGGGCAGCACTACGGACAGCATACACGACAGTTGCCTGTCACTGCCTGGGATATCAGGCTGGGGTCCATCCACACCACCACAGCAGGAAATGGAATGGAATAGACCCTTCCTTTTTGCTGGACAATTCATTTAATTGCTGCGGAATTGCTGTGTGTCACCAACTACTCTCACACACAGTAGTTTAAAATCACGAGTTCTGCAGATTTCTCATTCTTCTGTATCTGTGCTCAGTGACGCATCAACTTAGCTATGCTGGACCGTCGAGGATGGACACACACGTGCAGGCCTCCGGGAAGAGGTTTGGTGGCTGGAGCTCCACCTTGCGGGAGAACTGGGGCTTATCCACACGGTGGAGGAAGGCTCCAGAAGAGCTGCAAGAGCAGGTAAAAGCCTCTGCCTGGGCCTCTCTTCTCCTAATTGTTTTCATAATTGTTTAAAAACCCCAACCAACTGGTACCGCGAATGCTGTACAGATTCAATATGCAAACAGATTCAAAGGTGGGGGCGTTCCCCCAACAAGACCAAAGACCTCAGGGCCTGGTATTGGAATTGGGAGTGTAGTGCTCGTGTTTTGGGTGGATTGCTGGGTGTGTGGCATGTCCGAGCTTTGGCCAGCTGTGAACAGAGGAACAGTCACTGTTCCCAGGCAGTAACGTTTGGTTTCAAGTGTTTGGAGTGTCTGGTTTCACGTGTCAGGTAATTTCTGAAAGGATGCCAGGTAGGTGGAGCTCCTTGCTGGGCTCCTTCTCAGTGTGGGCCACAGTGTCCTTCTCAGGGTTGTTTCTCTGAATCCTGAATTGTGAGTCCCGGCGTCTCTCCTGACATGCCCACATTGTTGACCTCGACCTTTCAGGCCAACTGCAAATGTCTCCTGCGGAAGGGCTGGCACCAGTGGCCCTGAGAGCGGGTGCTGCCAGTGTGCCTGTGTTTAATATCCTGCTGACCAGAGCAACTCCAGCCCAGTTCAAATCTCTGCAAACATCCATCGCAAGTACACTATGGGCTGCACAGAACATGGGTGAGGGTTTGTGAAGGTTTAGGGCCATTGGATGAAACCTACAGCATGAAGGAGTACGGTTGAGATTCTCACACTCCCTGCGCTGTGTGTTTCCAAGGAGAGAGGCCGAAGAGAAGGCAGCCTCTCTTCGTCCCTCACTGGCCTCTTCTACGGCCCAGGGTCATGCCTCAAATCTCCTTCTCATTCCCTCATGAAACCCGCGGGGGGTTAGAAACAGTGTCTCTGGGGCCAGGCTGACCACCAGGAAATTCCAACCAACCCACTGGGACCCCTAGGGTGAGCAAAGCCAAGGGTGCAGGGCTGGACAGGGAGACCAGAAACCACCTTATCCGATTTCCCCTTTTATATTATCTATGTTTTACAATAAATCAGGCTGTAATCTTTAATTGGTGAGCCAGGTGAATTAATGTAGGTCTGGTTACAGAGTTAGTGTGGTGTTCATGCAAAATTAAATGTGCATGGCCCCTTTGCAAAAATTAGGATTTTAAAACAGACACAGCACAACTCATGCCAGTTTATCTCCACATGTTACACCATGGCCAGAAGCTGTGGGCAGCATATATGTGTGTGTGTGTGTGTGTGTGTGTGTGTGTGTGGCGTGTCCTTTGTGTGTGAACATGTGCATGAGTGCACCTCTGCATGTGGACATATCTGTGTGCATGTCAAGGGGAGCTCACCATAATCTCAAAAGACACAATACTGAACCCTGTAATCCTGAATGTGGAGATCCCTAAAGATCAAAATCTGAAAAATATTATTCAAGAAAGAAATAATTTAACATTCTTTAAAAGGTATATTTATTTACATGTTAAAAGGGGGAGATTCATTTGACCAACCGGACAACACTAACAGGCACTTTACTCAATAAGATAGGCAGCAACAGCATTCATATTTTCACAAGCGTACGCACCCAGGTACACAAACGTGGTCACACGGGCATGCCAGTTACAAGCAAAACTGAGGGGCCCCATCTAAGAAAGTGGCCCAGAAGCTCACTCTCTAAGCACGTATCACTGAGGTGGGCAACTGTGCACCCAGCTGCATAACCACCATCTTCTGCCACACTGCGACGGACATTCCAAGTCTTTTGATGAGACGGATCAAAAACCACGCGTGTGCCACGGTTTGGTGAAATGTTCTCGCTCACGATGCAGATGTGGGAAAGGGACATCTGTTCGTTTACTGAGGAAGTCACACACGCACAGCGCTCATGCACAGTGAAAACACAGGTGAGAACGTAGTCTACGGAGCTGCATGTGCAGAAAATGCACTGGACAAATTAGGACTCTCTCAAGGCCTCCACACAAGGTAAACCTCCAGTATTGAAAATGATGCAAAGATGAAATACACCACAGAGCAAATGTTTTTTTAAAAAAATGCTGGCGATTTAAAATAGTGAAAAATAAGTAAAAACAGAAAAAGAGACTAAGCTAAATTAAAAGAAAAAAATTGACATTTGAAAAAGTGTCTTACAGGGATAGATTATGGGCAACTATGGGAGATGGGCTGTAAGAGCCTGCTGTTCATAATTATTAACTGTATTTTGAAGTCTTTCATCGAAATCAATAGCTGCTTTTTTTTTTCTTTTACGACGTGGTTCTCCTTGGAGAATACATTGACGTGCATTTTCCGCGTGGGGCTGCTCCAGTTGGAATTCCTCTATGAGTTGACATGCGCGGCCGTGGGTATTTCCTACTAAGTTTTGCCGTCTTCTGTGCTGCGCTCCTGTGTGGTTTTGGGCATGCGGAAACCCACTGTGGGTGCACTCATGCGCGGACCACAGATGTGTCAAATAAGCCTGAAGAGCCACACTGTTGCCTGAGTGTCTTCCTATCCTACCTCACACGTGATTATTTTCCAACCAGCCAGGAGCCTCGTGGACTCCTTCAGGCAAAGGCAGTTTTAGTTCATTAAAGCTCCTGGAATGTCATCCGCTGGAGGGAACGGGACTGCCGACAGTGGCACATTTTAAATTGAAGTTTTCCTTGTCATACCTCGTGGCCAATCCTCTCATCTGAATTTTTCACCTAATGCATTGGGACGTATGAAAAGGAAATAAATGTTATTGGAAATACCTTGAAATTCACCGGTAGAAACGTTGGTTGCACCAAATTTCAAGTCTGTCATTATGGTTTGGAGATTCCGTTGGAATTCATAGTATTCTGAATAAAGAAAGACAACAAGGTGATAGTTCCTCCTAATGCCATGCAACTATCCTGTGATTGTGATTTGGGGGGTTTTAGTTGTTCAGGATTTTAGACTTCACGGATTTTGATCTCTTGGGATTGTCTTCAGGGGTTATGATTCAAGCCTGGGCATGTGCTCCATCTGTCCATTCCTTCAGAGTGGTTTTACATGAAATTACGGGAGATGGTGAGGACCATGCCATGCCTGTCCCTCCCTGTGAGGCCCACAGAGGAGCGCCACCCATCGGAGTGGGTGGGGTTCTGCAGGAGAAGGCACCGAAGCCCACGCGCTCAGAGTCACTTTGCTCTCTCCCCTGCGTCACTGAAGAAACGCCCCCAGGCAGCATTAGGTGTCAGGTGCAGTGACACAGCCGTGAGGGCCTGAGTTCCTGCGAGGCGTTCCTAATACAGTTCGCTAAGGAAAATCACAGGGAAGCAGACAGCGCAGAGCTTATCAAGGAGGGTGGTAATAGGGGCAGTGTTGGTGGCTAAACACCAGAATATCAGCCAGTCTGGAAGGTCCGGGGAGCAATTCCTAAAGGACTAGAGAAAGAGGGGCAGAGAGAAGGAGAGAGAGGGAGGGACTAAGAGAGAAGGAGTCAGAGAGAGAAGGAGAGAGAGAGAACAGCAGCAGGACAGGCAGGTCTGCGCTTCTGCTAGGAGCTGTCCTCCAGGAGACAGAGCCTCTACACAACTGTGTGTGGATGCCCAGGCAGGGGAGCAGTGAGTGAGGTCAGCAGTGACCTACGGTAGTGGTCCCCATTTGTCATCTGAAGTTTTTAGGGATGTCTTTTCATCATCATGCTTGCAAGTGGGGAAAGTTTGTACCAAGCAGGAAACTTTCCTAGTTTCATGGTAAAAGTTTGATATATAAAAAGAATGATATTTATCCTACATATAAGCAGGAATTCTTTTCCTCCACTTCCCTCCTGATCAGGCTCTGCTGCACAGATCTCTCTGTGGGCCCTTGAATGCCCTTCTCTCTTACTGGGCTTCTCAGAAAATCTCACGCCTCCGTCCTGCCTGAGCAGACGCACGTCCAGTTTCTGCCCTCTCGCTCCAGCACCCACTGGGTTCCGCTGAGTGCAAGTCCAGTGTTTTGGCAGTAGTCAAAGCCTTTAGTTTCATCCCTCTTTTTGGCCTCATTAAGGAAATAATTTGCCTCACAAGGGAATGTAGTTTAAGAGTCCTAAGGCTGAAATTGCTCCTAACTGGTGAGGATGCAATGTAAAGAACAGCCTGCAGGCCCGTACCCAGTTGTATGTGACTTATTAACCATGAATCCCTCTGTGTTAAAATTCTGGTTTTATCCAGCGGAAGACGTTGGTACTCACTTGAATAATGACATCTTCAGTAAAAAGTCAGCCATGCTAATTTTATGAAATATCTACTGGTAGCTTACGCTGGTTTCACAAACAGTTTTTCGCCTCTTCTACTGAAGAATGGGAGATGATCAACACACTGAATGATTTTCTCTTTAACATGGAGTAATCTATCTGCTTCTGTATAAACTGCGTTCCATTTTTCTTGGCATAATGGCTTCCTCTTTTGATGAAACAAGCCTTTTGCATTTATGAAAAATACGTGTAATGTTGGCTTCTGGCTGAGATAACTTAACAACTTCCTGAATTCAGATATTGGTAGAGTGCATGTAACAGCAACTAGTAATTAAGGCGGTATTGATTGGTTCAGCCTGGTCTAATCATAGACTGTATAATAAATCATAAGGCGTTTTGCAATTAGGAAAATCCATACTAAATAACAAAGTACTGTTATCTTAGTAGCCTTAATAAGTATGGAGTCATGCATTATGGAATAATTGCTACAACACAGTGTACCTGTTTCGAATCACTCTCCATTCATCACACGCAACAAACCTCTTGTTTTCGTGGAAACTGCTGTTCTGGGTAAAAGGCACTGGTGAAATACTCCACTAATATCCCCTGAACGCTTGTTTCTCCTCCAGGAATTTTCCATATCTTCAAATGCTAGGAGAGCCTTCTCCCTCCATCCCCACCCAGGGAGTGATTAAGGGCTCCATTATTTCAGTGGTAGCCACTAGGACCGCAACATTTATAGTGCTTTCAGCATTTCCATTACAGACCCCTAATAAATGACCAGCTATAAAGCAAAATTGAACCAGCTGGGAACAAAGTTGGCATAAAGAGATTTCAGCCTGAGAGTAGGTATTCTTTTTTATGAAGATTTTTCCATTTAGTTTTAAAATATATAGAAGACTTTTATTTACATTTGCCATCTATTTCGCAGAAAAAAGTACAAAAGAGAATTGTATTACTTTAAAAATTCGAGCTTATATTGCTTCTAAAAAAAGACACTGTAAACGACTTTTATCTGGATTCCTGTGTAGTTAATAGAGTCCTTTTTTATTCCATGACATGGTTCAATTTATAGCTATGAAAAGTTAAAAGGCTATGAACTCTGTGGTTATCATCATTTGACTGAACCGTGTTTCGAAAAGACTCTACGTGTTTTAGAGCTGCAAGGGATCATGAGATTATTTAATGCAGTAGTCATTTGTGAGAGGAAGGAGCTGAGGACACACGGAACTTCCCAAGGCTATATAGGCCATGTGAATTACAGAGTTGAGGTTCTAACGCAAGGCCCAGGAGCTAAACCTCCACACCCAGATCTGCATCCAAAGGGCAGCTGCCATCCAGTGTCATCCCCAGTTCCAGGCACCAGGGCCCACGGCTGAACTGAGATCGCCCAGTTCTAATCTCTCATGACCCTTCACTGCTCTGCACTTAGCAGAGCCTTCGCGCTCACTCAGTTGTGATGAGACCTAAAGTCAGACATGTTCTATGGGACTTCCAAAGGCACATGGCAGCCCCAACAATGGGTCAACCCTGCCATCCCCGTCGCCCTCATTACTAATACTGATGGAGCAGTGCCACTGCTGAGGACCCCTGGAGACACTGTGCGTGTATCATTTACGCTCACGCCATCAGGAGGGTGCTCTGATTGATGCAAACCACAGACCAGAGAAGGAACCTGGGTGACTGTCCAGATGGCAGTTGATCAAGCGGTGGGCCTTGTCTGGGAATCCAGCCTGGGGCTCAAACCCTAGACACACTAGACCAACTGGGATGAAAGCATTTTGCTTTGAAAATTATGCATTTTGAAAATGGTAAAGTGTTTGTTTACATTAAATTATACAGTTCTCTTAGTGATCTATGGGC